GAAGAAGAGAGAAGGCCAGAGGGGAGGGAGGGAGGAAGGAAGGAAGGAAGGAAGGAAGGAAGGAAGGAAGGAAGGAAGGAAAGCAGACTGAAGATGTAGTTCAGTATGAAGGCTCTGGATTCAATCCTCAGTAATACTGTAAGCAAACAAACAAATAAAAAACAACAACAAAAACCAAAAACCAGCCCACAAGGCTGGCAGAAAGTTTGAAGTGCTAGAGAAATAGGCTGAAGTACAGCTTCTGTGCCCTGGCTATTTCAGGAGGCCCAATGGCTCCAGGATTAGGTCCCCCATGAGGCCAGGCTCCCAAAATACAAACCAGTTGAGGTCAGCACCAAAGACACCCACAGCTGTTGCTCTGTGGCAAGGGAGTGTATCCAGGTGGCTTCCAGCCGGCAAGCCAGGATAAAGGCCAGCCTAGCCAGGACCCAGCTTAGTCTCTCTGCGTGAACTTTTGAGGGAACTGATTTTGCCTGTGGCCTGCCCTGCCTGGTCGCCTGTGCACTTTGGTGGCTACACATCTGGGATGATCCAAAGGGGGTTATTAACAAGAAAAATTGGTAGCTCACATCTGTAACCCTGCTATTCAGGAGATGATGGTAAGGGCGATGATAAGTCTGAGTCCATCCTGGGCCACCTGGCGACCTACTGAGACCCTGTCTCAGAAAGTGAGTGGGACAGCGACGTAGCTAGTGCTGATCCTCAGTACTGGAAAAAAATGCTCTGTGCCTATAGCTCTATACTCTTTGGGTTCAGTATTTAGTAATGGAAATAAAATCTGACAAAACCTAAGGTTCCTGCTGAGGTGGGGAGCTGGCGCTCATGAAGTTACTGGGGGGAGGATCAGTAGTCCACATTTCTGGGGTGCCATCTGGTTTATGTAAGAAGATTTAACATGCAAACTCTTTGACTCTTACCTAGGAAATTCTTATGAGGCATTAATTGATCAAAAGCAGAAAGATGAATGAGTAAGTCTTCATGCAGCATTGTTTACTGAGGAAAGCCAGAGGCAAGCAGAATGCTGTCCAGAGGGAGATCAGAAAAATAAATCATGGCATCTAGTGGAAAACTGCAGAATCCGAGGATACCGTAGCTTCACGCTGACCTTGGAAAGACCTTCGCATGGACTGGAGCAGCACACGCTGACCACCAGCGGCTTCAATCTGCTTGTAAGCCTGTCCTGACACGGTTGCTACTAACCCAGTCCCAGGTCTCAGGTCTCCTGATCTCTGGATCTCACGTGGATACAAAATTCTGGCTACATTTTTGAGTGAGAAGTAATGGGATTCAGAAAGTCAACTTTCCTCCATCTTGCTCTGTTGTATTCTTAACAGTGTGAGCTTGAACAAACTGCTTGATGCCCCTAAGCCTCAGTTTCTGATTCTATAAAATGGGTCTGCTAATTGTTATTTTTGTAAATGTCCTGACCAGCAGTGAAACAAGGGATGCTGAAGGTCTTCAAGAAAAAAGTATTTCTGCCACAGAATGATCAAGTGCATGGGCCCTAGAACCAGCCTGCCCGGGCTCCAGTCCTGGCCTGTGGCCTGGGCAAGACTCTAAGCTCTCTGAAGCCCCTCTGTGCTTCCATTTTCTGTCTGCAAAACAGACCTCTTGTTATTGTAGAGACTAAAGATGAGACACTAAAGTGTTCTGAATGGTGTCCAGCCCAAGCCACGACCCAGCAACGATGAGCTAGTCTTAATTTTAATGAGCCTAATGCTTGGGTGCTGCTAGCATCTCAGTTTTACTGCAAGAAAATAAGACCATCACATTAAACAACACTGGTTCTTGACGTTTGGAGGGGGGGGGGGTCACAAGTGGCTCTGAGGCTTTGACAGAGTGTGAGACCCGTTCTGTGGAAAACAGGATTGTACATAAATTTGCACTCACTTATCTTCCCACTGCCTCTGGTGCAGGGGTCTTGAGGAGCCAGTGAAGAGTTGGCATCACCAGGGCCTTAGGAATGAGGCAGTTACCACACCGCCTGACGGGCCTTCCCAGGAGTGAGCTCCATCCTGACCCCATCCTCTGGCATCAGCCCGCAGCTTACTGAGGGTGCCATGTTCGCCTGCCCTTCCACAGTGTAGCCCTTGGGCAAAGACTCTGCAGAGATGGGGGTGCACAGGAAGCTGGGCCCAACTAGGTGTGAAGGAGCGGTATGGGTGGCCTTGAAGAAGCTTTTGGATGAATGCGCTGCCCCTGCCTGTAGGGAACAGGTGAGCCTGAGGTACCAAGGTCCAGGCCTTGGCCTGAAACCCAAAAGCGCTGACTGCAGTATGACTCTTCCCCAGGTACCTGGGTGAACGTCGCTAAAGCAGGAATCACGACAATCTCAAATGGGCCACCTTCTTAGAGCCTCCATTAATGTATTCACTTGCTGTTACTGGTTATTGCTGCTGCTACTTTTGTTGTTGTTGTTCTTGATATGTCTTCAGGTAACAGAAAAGATAATTTTGTCTCATCTGAAGTACTGGGAACTCAGCCAACTCCCTTCCATAATGATTCAAAGGGACACTTCTCAAGTATTTATAGCAGGGCCTTGGGTCCCTGAGCTGCATCCCCCAGGCAGCTATTATTATGACCTCATTTCTGAATCTGGCTGTGGCAGTCCTGGATACCTAGACAATGTCACCAAATTGGTTTTTCTGCCTTAGAACCCGGTGAAGCGTGTGCAGCCCACTGACAAAGTTGTAGCGATATTAGTTACAATCAGGAGTTAGGACTCTCGTCCTTCCAGGGCCAGTTCTGGGATTTATCCTGCTTAGGTTTCAAGCTCTCACAGCATCAAGCCACACCTGCCCACGGTGGTGGCCAGCTCACAGGTACACTCATCTTGGCACCCTCTTACCTTGTCAAGTGGGGCAGGTGCAGGTCCTTATGTCAAGTAAATCCCTGCCCCATGCCCTTGTCTAGGGCTCCGCTTTAGGAAGACCAACCAAGGCATAGAAGCCCCATACCAACTACCACAGGGGGTCTGTTCTCTTGTTTCTGTTTCTCAGATAGGAACCACTGAGGTTCAGCAAGGTGATATCATTTATTCAAAACCATACATCTGGGAAGTGGTATAGGCAGAATTTGAACCTAGACAGCTGCCTTCAGGGCCCAAGCCTGTGCATTCCTGATGACTGAGGTGGGAAAGATGAACAGAATCACTGGCTATTGCAGCATCTTGCACCCTTCTAGCACATGGATCAAAAACTCAAGAACTAAAAACAAAACAAAACAAAACAAACAAACAAACAAAAAACTCAAGAACTTCCAGGGCACCAGGGAATTAATATGTTATAGTAACTGGATGAGGGAGCACGGTGGAACAGTGGACAGTAGATCACCCCTGAAGGGCAGCACCAGTCAGTGAGGGGCTAGACAGGGCCTTTCCAGCACTCCCTGGCCTGAGTGAGTGCCAGACAACCATAGGCAACCAGAAGGTCTGCTCAGTGTTGTAAGATACAACTCTTTTCTCTTGTAGTACTGAGGCTGAGCTACATCCACAGCCTTTTAAAAAACATCTTTAGACAGGTCCGACTAAATCATTAAGTTGCCTAGGCTAGACTTGAATTTGCATTCTCCCTGCTTCAGCCTCCCAGTGTGTGGGGATTACAGGTGTTCACCGCCAAGAACAGCTCAACTTTTTTTTTTTTCCCCTGTGCTGAGGATCAGAACCTGTCCTGGCACATGTCAGGCAAGTACTCTGCCACTCAGCCACCCTCCAGCCCTGATTTTAAAAAAGTCCAAATTTTTATAATAAATTAGTTGGTGTTATGGTTTGTGTCTAGTTGTCCCCCCAAAGCCTCATGCAGTCATGGGGTGAGGACTTCTAGAGTTTGTGTTAACTCATGATCCACTGGGATTATGTGTGATCCAAGGCTGGGATTATGGGTTTTAGTACTGCTGGGATTACCCATAGGTGGGTAAATACTGGAAGTACCCATAGGTGTGAGTACTTCCCCTACCCTGAGGCAGGTAATCTGCATTACAATGTAAGGTGGGAAGAGAAGTTAGCTGCTTGAGCTGCTGCTATCCCCTCCCTTGTACTCTTGCTCTTTGCCACTGCCATGAAAGGTTGTTTTCTGCTCTGTGCTGCTCTGCCTTGGACCCAGCTGAGTATGGACTGAAACCTCCAGTAACTGTGGGCTGAATAAACCTTTCCTTCCTTCATTTTGAGTGTCGGGTATTTGTCCCAGCAACGAGAGAAGAGTAATTAAGACAGTTGGCAATTAATAGGAACAAAAGCTAGTTAAAAATCCACCTCTGGGAATAACACTGTTGGACTCTGGTTTCCCTCCAGGACAGGGACCACCCATCTGCATCCAGGTGAGAGTCTGGGGACACACCTGCCCCAGCAAGGTGTGTGCACATTACCTGCACTGTGCTCATCCATTGAGAAGGCCTGGTTCTCCATGTAGGTGCGCGGCAGGTGCACATCCTCCTCAAACGCCGTCTCCCGCATCCTGGGCTGCGATGTGTCAAAGTAATTGGGTGGATTTTCCTGCAGGGGCGGGAGGAGCGTGCAGTGGATCTCAGGGATGGCGTGAAAGATGACGAAAACCCATCCGCTGGCTGCGAGCGTGATGGCCAAAGTGGGGTCACTCCAGGTATCTCCTTGTTGCAGCATGGCGTTGCCGAAGAGGTACATGGTGATCCAGGCCACCCAGATAAGCAGAGAGAGGAAGGTCGTGATCAGGATGAAGGCCCCGTTCAGCTTCCACCTCTTGAACTTGCCGCAGAGTGTGAAGAGGGCCTGCCCCAGGGTGATCACGAGTAGTACCATGACGTAAATGAGGGCCATCACGAAGTCCATGGGCTCGTAGGCGCAGGCGGACTTCATGTCACGCAGCACTGTCAGCACCAGCCACTCGGTGGCGATGATGACCTGTACCAACATCAGGCACAGCGCCAGGCCCGCCATCTGCCAGCCAGCCGGGCTTGTGCCCAGGCACACCAGCTTCCGCACGCGCCACGCCTGGCTCAGCAGGCAGGAAAAGCACAGCGCGAAGAGGACACCCCAGAGGAAGCGACGGATTGAGCAGATAGTCTCATCTATCCGGATGATGAAGGCGAATGTCAGCCCAAAGAGGCCCAGGGTCCCTAGGAGGAAGAGGAAGTGGAGGCACACGGGCCTCCTCTTCTCCTTGTCCTTGATAAAGGGCAGCCGCACTAGCAGGATGAGCATCAAGAGCAGCGTGATCAGGGCGCCTGCCCCGGCCACCGCCTCCACCACGATGCCCCAAATGGCGTCCAGGTCGCACAGGGACACGTACTGAGGGAGGAGGTCCAGCCCGCAACCGCGGGATGTGCTGGCGTTTTCAGAAGCCACAGAGGCAATCACCAGGAGCAGGAGGAAGGCGAGCACCTGGTGGGTTCTCATCTTTCTCTCCGACACCAGGAATATTCTAAAAAAAAAAAAAAAAATGGGGGGGGGGGTGAAGATGATTAAGGAAAAAGATCCATTCTCTGTGAGATTCCTCCTCTTCATTTCTTTTTTTCTTGCAGTACTGGGGGTTGAACCCCGGGCATTTGCACTGAGCTCATCCCCAGCCTTGTTAAAACTTTTTATGCTGAGACAGTGTCTCAACTAAGTTCCTAAGTTGCCCAGTTTGGGCCCAGTCTACCTGGGATCCTGCCTCCGCTCCCCAGAATGCCACGTGTGTGATGTGTGCCACCGTGCCTGGCTTCTCTTGATTTCTTGTAGAAGAGCTGTTTCATTTCAAACCTGTAGCCCACTCAGAGCCTCTAGACACATCGAGCAAAGGCATCGTCCTTGCTCCAGGCACTATGGGCAGGCCCTCGGTGGGGGACTGTCTCCTATCTGCATCCTTGGGGACATCCTTGCTGGGGACACGCAGCAACTGTGCATCACTGACACTCGTGGCTGGAGGACCAGGTGGGAGGGAGACTCACCTTCTCTGTATACCCTTCTGTGTTCTTTAAGTTTAATACTGGAGGCCACACCTGACTTCTTCAAAATAAGGGAATGAGATGAAACTTGCAAGTCATAGCCACAAGCTATCAGTGCTAACAGCACACGTTCCCCCTTTCAGTCTCTTAAAGCCTCCAACTAACACGTACTGACTACCTCTCTAGGCCAAGACCTGGGCAAGAGCAGTCCTCATAATGCTTATGAGGCAGGTCCTATTGTGACCACTATTTTGCAAGTGACAAGACAGGTCTCCAGGGGATGACTTTTGTACCATGATACAACTGAACCCCTCTCAGAAGTCTCCCAGCCATCCTCAGCCCCCGTACCTAAGGCATAGATCTCTCCCTGGATGCAGCCAATCTGGGTTGGAGAATACTGGGGGGACACATCCTGTCTGTCCTGAACATGCAGGTACATTCTCCTTGTCACCATTCCTAAACAACACAATGTAACACTATTTATATAGCATTAGGGATCATGGAGAAATTATTTAAATGTACAGGAAGATGTGTGTAGGTTATAGGTAAATGTTATGCCACTTTACAAAAAAGACTTGAACCTGCTCGGTTGTTGGTATTGTAGATAACGGTATCTATGGGGGTCCCAGAACTGATGCCCTGTGGATCCCCAGGGACCACAGTATATCCAAAAGGAGCTGTCTGCCTCTGTGGCATGCTCTGCCTCTTGTCCATGTATCCTCTCCTCCTTCAAAGAGCTCCAAGGCTTCAGGTCTTGGTTCTACCCCAGCTGGTCTCTCTCTGGGTGGTTTTCAGACTCTGTGCTTCTCTCTCTTGCTGCCAGGCAAGCTGGATTAACTCAGGTCTCCCCTTTGACTCTGGCTGGGATGACTCAGATACAACCTACATGGAAAGCTGCACCCCCAACCCAGACTTTGGCCAAGGTCACACCCCCCTCCTCTCTACTGCAACGTGGCCTGCTGCTTCTTTCTTAGTGCTAATCAACTCTGACATTTTTTGCCTATTTACTTTGTTTCTCTTTCTCTTCCCTTCCTCCTTCCCTCCCTTCCTGTCTCTGTCTGCTGCAAAATGTGGCAGACAGTGTGGGGACACTGTCTCTTTTGCTCATCAGCGAACCAGGCTTTTGCAACCTTGACATGGCTGGCATGTGGGCTGGATCGTTCTTTGCTGCGGGACTCTGTCCTGTATACCATAAAAGGGTTGTGCAGAATCCTTGATGCACTAGGTACCAAGACCACGTCACAGCCCCCAGCTGTGATCATCTGTCCAACATGTCTCTGGACTCTGCCAAGTGTCTCCTGATTGGGAAGCAAAATCACTCATTCCCAGGAGGACTTCCAGTGAAGGCTCAAGTCCTAGTGCACACTGCCTGGCCTGGAGCAGCTGCTGAGCAAATTCTGCAGCAGTGGCGGTCCTGCTCATCAGGACCATCCTCTCACCAATGGCCACCAGATCCTAGCTTTTCCAAAGGGCCAGGCCTTCAAGAAGCCACAGCCCACAAAGCTGCGCTCCACACTCATTTCCAGCCAGCTCAAGCTGGACCCCCTATAGCTTGGCGTCTCTCTGTCTGTCTCTGTCTGTCTCTGTCTCTGTCTTCTCTCTCTCTCTCTCTCTCTCTCTCTCTCTCT